CAAAAACATGACTGTTAGGTTTTTTGGTAATTTGTCCTTGAGTGTGTGTTTGCAGGGTTGAATGTCTCTGTGTTGCCCTGCGGTAGCCTGGCGTTCTGACCAGGGTTTTCTCTGCCTTTTGCCCATAGACTGCTGGAGGTAGCCCCAGCCCCACAGCAACCCTGACAGATAAGCTGAAAAGGAGAAATGGATAGACTATTATATAAAACTAACACATAAAGAAATTAACTAATTGTTACAGTGGGCTAATGATGGGTAATTGAGGACTGTGGGGGGCTGAATGAAAGTCATAACCAGTGATGAATCTCCAATCTATATGAGATTTAAAAAAACGACTGCCTGAAGAACAACAGACAACAAACAATACATTTGAATAGCCATTGAGGAGATGGGGATAAATGTCAGGAAATGGAGAAATGGCTCTCATTACATATTTAATAAAGTTACAAGTTTAAGTTGACATTTTTGGACACTTTTTTTATACCATCAATTGAATGGATATTTTGAGATGATTCAATTATTTCCCAACATAATAATGCATCTTGCCAAACTGTGAAAACACTCCTTGAAGAAAGACACACAAAATCAATGTCATTGTCTGCAAACAGTCCAGAATGCAATCTAATTGAATGTCTATAGTGGAAGTTGAAGAAAATGGTCCATGACAATGCTCCAACCTGCAAGGCTGATCTGGCAAAAGCAATCAGAGAAAGTCAGAGACAGATTGATGAAGACTACTGCTGGTCAGTCATTAAGTCCTTGCCTCAGACGCCGCAAGCTGTTAGAGGTTGGTGCAGCAAAGTAATAGTGCTGTTTTGAATCATTCTTTTGTTATTTTTTTTTCTTATTTTAATTTCCTAATTTCATATTTTCTCTGAATTGAGTGATCCCATAACTTTTCCCTCAGCTTGAGCTAAAAAAGTGACTGTTATAGACTACCTCCTTGTTTTTTCCTGATTTCCATTAGTGCTTCTTAAAGGCAGAAAGTCGCCATTTAGAATGGCTGCAGTTTTGTGCCATGTCTTTGATCTTAAGTCTTTTTGGACATAATTAAACAACTGAAAGAACATTCTCTAAGATCCCATAGCTTTGGACAGCCAGGAGTTGTGGTAGCTAAAATGACCAATAAACCTGCTTTGTTAGTTTCTCCTCATTTTTAACGCCTGGTAGTAACTTTCCTTTAAAGCACGGAGCAAGCAGCAGGACAGTTAAAGGGGTAACCAGTCCGACTGGATTTAAACAGATCTCCTTTCTTCTCTTGGTTTCTGCCTCTGAACGCCACTTGTCTTCCATCTTACAGCAGTGACCATTCACAATGTAAGCAAGTCAAATTGTTGGGGCACTGTCTAAGCCTGTTCATACAAAAAGCAGGGAAGGAATGCCACTCTAAAGCAGAAGTTACTAAATCACCTGAAATGTTTGTAGCTTTTGGCACTCACATTAACAGAAGAAGACTCCAAAGCTGTCTATTTTATCCACAGAATGATAACAGGCAAAGATTCCTCCTGTTTTTTTCTTCAAACATTTAATAAAACATCTGCCTTATCATGATTGTTTTGTTCTAATCATTTAATTTCTGAAGAGGCTCTTAAACCCCTGCATTAATGTCATGATCTTGGCACTAATAGCTGGATCTGGCTCCTTTTTAACATCTGCTCAGCTCCACCAAGTGCTCTTTGTCTCTCATTAGATCCACCTGTTCCTGCTTCTATTTAAGCTACCTTTTTCCCAGCCAGTGGTGCCTGATTATCTGAGCTGTGTGAGAGTTTTCTAGCCTTCTTGTAAGTTTCTGATTATCTGATCCTGACTAGTTTCTGCCCCCGGACTTCGGGGTTTTGGTTCTGCTCTGTGTGCCTGATCTGTTCCCAGACTGTTAGATGGTTTCTGCCTGTTAACCACCTTGGACCTGTCTTTTGACCCCGGCTTGGAAATCCCTTCTTTGGACTTCTGATCTTCTGGCCTGGAAACCTGCTCCTGCTTCGACTCTACTTTGGATTATCCCTCCGGATTCTCCTGTTCCTCTGTGTGCTCTGCATTCGTTGCTCCACCTCTTTCCTGGAACTCTGGAAGCAGCTCCATCGCAAGCTACGGAGAAACCATTCCCTCCGGACTTCACTCCTACTTCTGGGCTTAGACTGAACTTTGCACAAGAAGCCACACGTTAACCTTTTAAAAACGCTAGTTTTGAAATCACCCTGATCTGTCTGCTTGAATTCTGGATCCTACATTCTGAGTCCTTGACAACCAAGTGAGCTGCTGACTGAGTCAGGGGAGAAATACAGGGAAATGCATCTAAGCATTTTCAGTATATCACACAAAACAGAATTTACTCCAATGACTTAACTTAAAAAAAAAAAGGAAACTTGTCTCATGTTGATTCATTAGATATATGCTGATATATTCAAAATGTTTATTTCTATTTTTTTTTCTGAATTACTGCTCACTAATAAAACAAAACCATTCTCTGAGAAAATTAGAATTTTACTTTATACAAACAAGGACATAGTTTTAAATCTGGAAAATTAGCCAACTGAAAAGTGTTGTGACATACTATACAGTAGGCACTCAGTTGTTAATCAGGACTCCCTCTGCTGTAATCACTGGATTAGATGTGGTGAGACATAAATGCAATCAGTGATTTTATAGATGCTTGGAAAAAAAAACTCACCTGCCCTTAAAATTAGCCTTCAGCTTATCTGCATTGTATGTCTTGGTGTCCCCTCTTCTTTATAGTACCTTACAGATTATATATATATATATAATATATATATATATATATTATATATATATATATATATATATATATATATATATATATATATATATATATATATATATATATATATATATATATATATATATATATATATATATATATATATATAGGATTTAACAATAATTCTATACTCATTAAGCAGGTTTTGATTTTGTGGCACTAAATCTAGAAAGCAGCATCAAAATTATGAAGAAAAAATGACTTCAAAAACCTTGACACCCGTGCTGACTTTCTGCATTAAAATCAATGGGCTGATCTAGAGGGGGGTCCTGGTGGCCAGGGGTCCACCCTGGCCACTCACTGGCCACCCCTACCAGGTTATTTGTTGATCACCCTGGGATTTAATTTGATACCCTTGGAACAAGCAGTTCTCCACCAAGCCTGATAATAGCAGCGCTGATACATGACAGGGATTTCTTACACTTTAACACTGGTATATTATCCAAAAACTGAATACAAAAATGCAGCAAATAATTATTCACAGTGATAAACCACAAATAAAGTGGACTAATACAGAATGTTTGCTCTTTTAAGAATTGTTTATTATGTTTAATAGGGGAAAGTTTGTCTCTGCAGTCCCCTACTGTAGGAGTCTTTTCTAAAGATAAAAAACCTTGCTCAACCCATTTAATGTATATTTTAATGTAAAACAATACATTCATTTAAACGGCACTAATGTATAAATATACGCATTTCTTTATCATCAAGGACCATAATGAAAATCTGGACTGTCTTCAGTCATTTATCTGGAAAATATAGATGTAATTTTTCTGTTGGTTTATTTTAATCAGTGCAGAATGACTATAAGATGTTTTTGGCACCTATCAGTTAACAGCCACCCCTAAGTGCACATTGGCTCCTGCTTGACCATCCTCATGCAAATTTTCTGGAACCGCCACTGGTCAGTTATCATGCTAATGCTGCTACCCCAGTAAAAGTGATGCAGATTCTGTGCCTCTCACATCTCCTTACAGTATTGAAAAACTTGATTTCCAAATGAAATGCCTTATTTACTTTAATCCCAAAGAGAAGTTTGACCATTAGGTAACAAGGCAGGCCCTTTGCTCTTTAGCTTCTGAAAACATCTACGCTTTAGTTGGGACTTAACACAAGGCTTGTGACCACACCCTGGATTTTGAATTATATGGTGACAGTTAAAGCATCAACTAAACATAAAATCCCTGTCTTATAAACTTGCCCGAGATGCAAGGTTGTACTGCTGATGCAGATGCACTTCCTCTAAAATCTCTTAGTTGCTTTGAAACTGAAATCTGTCAAGCCTTTTTTTTTTTTTAGCATTTTTTATTTTTGTTTTATTGTTTTCCTCATTTTGGGGGGTGTCAGAGACCGAGTCAAGTCAGCAGTCTTGTCTATTATGTAATGTTTCTATGATGAAATCTATTCTGTTGGCATTGTATAACACTTTACTATGAGTGTAATTAATCAATATATTATTTTACTAGTATAATGCTTTCAAATGATTTAAATAATTAAAATAAATTACCTTACAATTACAATAGGAAGTTCTAGATAGGGGCCAACTCAGTGTCCCTGTAGAAGAGCTTGTTGCCCCTCTTTTTTCCCTGTACACAAAACGTACCCTGCAACGAAGTATCTAAGTAAGTAAATTTTTCTTAAATTAAGTGTATTTTCCCTTGATTTGACCAGGTATTGAAGACATCCCAATAGAATACGTTTATTTACTTAAAGAAAAAATCCATTATTTCAAGTGCATCATACATAATTAGCTTATTATAAGGGGAAAAAATACTCACTCAATAGGCAGATAATCTTATTTACCTGCTCAAATCAAGGGCAAATGCACCTTTAAAATAAAGACTGTAAATGATTAATCCCCTTGACAATTTTCCCTTTAGAGTTTACCCTAACCATTATTTAGAAATTAAAATTAGTTTAAGCTGCAGTCATACTAAGATACAGGGTTTGGTATTGGGTGAGAATCATTGACTTTGTGGTTCAAACTTAATATACAGGATTAAATGCTCTTACAGTTTTTTTCGTTTTTTGCAAATATTTTGTTATGTGCCCCCATAAAAAAAAAAAAAAAACACTAGAACCACCACTGATAAAGAATGGCACCTGCAATAACTTGTTTTTAATAACATTTTAATACATTCTGAGGCGCTTTCCTCCCGGCCTGTAGGTGTCGCTATAGTCGAGTTTCCCCCCCTCCTGTTTAATTCACCACTCCTCCTCCTTCTATCCATCAAAACCTCCGCGAAAGGGTGTGAGTTTGAAGGTTGGAAGAAGGTACATATCACAGGAGACACGACGAGTCGCCGCAGAATGCCCAGGAGCCGGAGGAGCGCACACCAAATGTTTTCCCCTTAATTACCTCTCAGTGCAGCTTGGACTCAGCTGCCCCGGCGGCAACAGAGCTGTCCTCACCGGTTAAACATTAAAAGATGCCGCTGACGCGAAAATCGGCTAAAAGTTTGAATATTGGTGCTGCGCAGTAAAATGTGTGGCGGCAGCGCTGCCGTTTCCCCCCAAGGTCAGTGTCTGAGGTACCGCAGGCGGCGCGAGGACGAATTTCTTGGGGAGTCGGAGGAAGAAGGGGCGCAGAGGAGGAGAAGTGGATGCGGTTATCTCTTCGCCCGCATTCAGCATCAGCTGTGACATTTCTTACAAACGGCCACTAAAAGAGGAGCGGGAGAACTTGTTTAACGCGCCTGTCAGACACAAATTGGTGGTCTCCTTTCAGCATTGTTTACAGAGGTGGAAAAAAGTCCAGCATCTTTGCCGTTTCCTGCTTCTTCCTCGGCCTGTGAGGGCGACGGTTACCTGGTTGCTGCACGCAACGATCAGCCTCAACTAGCTAACGTTCACTGAGAAAATGAACCATCGGTTCGGTTCTAGGTGACCTGAACTGTTCACTTCAACCTATTGGTGTTCTTTGATCACTATTTTATCACCACACAGCTGAAGTCAGCTCAACTTCCTCGAACTTGAAGCGGAGTCTTTTATTTTTTCCTACCTAGTTTATTGTTTTTTTTTTTCCCAAACATGTTACCGAGGATAGCGCCGTTCAACCGGACAGGTTTCGCTCGGACTGTACCGGAGCTTGGACTGCTCCTGCTGGCGATACTCGTCCTGCTGGAGGGCTCCGTGCTGCCGCTCGGAGCAGCCAGCTCCCCGGGGACCAACACCCACGGAGAGGTGAACAGGAGCGGAGCTGTGGAGGGACACTCCAACCACACCAAGAAGGCTTTCCCCGTCCTCAGCTTTAACTACGAAAGCGTTAAACTCCCCTTTGAGATTTCTCTCTGGGTGCTTCTGGCCTTTTTGATGAAATTAGGTAAGCATACAGTTGTTTCATAATATTGCAACTCAAACTTCATGGTGAGAGTTTAGCCTATTTCAGTAAACACTTGCCAAATACAATACGGGAAGTCCTCTATTACGCCTCTTAATCACCCGGTAGATGTGACACAGTTTCTGTCCGGTGACACATATTTCAAATAAAGCCATTTAAAGATAACCTAATAATGGGATTTAAAGATTGTTCACATGCATTTACTTTGTCTACCACAGCCATAACTTTCTGAAGGACATGTCCCCACCGGCTTTGGCCCGGTGTGGACAGGTCCCCAAAGACTTTAGCCTGGTGTGGACATGCCCCCACCGACTTTGGTCCCCAACGATCATCATGCAAGAAATAACTTAAGAGTAAAAAAGACATTTGGTCAAAAAGCTATTTAAATGCAGAGTAATTATTGAATAATAAAATCTGATTTATTTAGAAAGGACAACTTTTATGTACAAATACTTCCATTTAAAAAAACACATATATAAGAAAATCCAAATAGTTAACATTATTTAAAATAAAATAACAGTTACTGCAGAAGAAACACTTTCCAAAATCTATTTGTTCCAACATTAAACCCCTTACAGTGAGAAGTGTTTACTGTATATTCTGCTAATCTGTGAACAGTTTGTGCACAGGCGTAACTTCTGAAGGACTGGTGTGGACATGTCTCCACCAACTTTGGCCTGGTGTGGACATGTCCCCACCAATAATTTCAATACATAGACTTTGGCAATATGTGGGACAAATTTCAAAATTTCATTTTACTGCTTTTAAAGGAGGATATTCACTAATTTAGCCGAAAGGTAAAACATCCATCAATCAATCCACATTTTTCTGGATGGATTGATTGATTGATAGATGAAACGGAAATGTGTCCATACTAGGGAGGCATAATATCTTGCTGTTGGCATTGAAATCAGCTGTTATTCATCCTTTTTTTTAATACATTAATGTCCAACTACCCATACATATAAATATTAGTGTAGTTTGGTTCTTCTGCGATCTCAACAATAGGAAAGCTTTCAATAAATATGTTTGAGCTCATTTTTGGAAAATACAAACCCTATTGAAAGCGTTTGTCTCGAGTAACTCTAGGTCCAGGAGCCCCCACCCTAAGAGTGTTTCCACCGACTACAAATGTACAAATGATCTATGACCATACCAACCTATTAACCTATAATAGATATACTAAAATGCCAATAAATTTGCTTACCAACAGTTAAAGTATTATAATTTAGACTAGAGAGCAGGCACAGGTAAACATAGAAGAGTACAAATTAAGAGGCTGTATCTCTTTCTCAAACTTTCAATTATTTGTTTTATTTTGACATAATCTACTGTCCATTTTACTCGAAAATTTCTAAAAAGATTGTGCTTACAAAGATCTGATCTGTTGTGGGCATTAAGAATAATACAACTCCATTCCAGAAGGCTAATGTAATTTGGAATATCAGGTTTTAATATGGTTTATTAAGGTTTGAAGGAGACTGAAGTTAAGATCGGGGAGAGAACATTCTTTTTTTTTTAGCTGCAACATGTAGTTATTTTTGTTTTTATAGAGTTTTTTTTTGGAGGTCTTTTGTATGACGCATTTGAATATTTAGTTAGTTGTTAAGCTTTTGTCTGGTACCCTATTTCCAATCAGAAATATGATAAGAATGCCCCACTAAGTCAAGCCACCTAAAGTTCAATGTCCATTCATTAGCACTTTTGACAGTTTGCAGCTCATTAACCCAATGGGAAACAGAGCACTTTAACGTGTAACGTGATCTTGTTTCTTTAACACTGGATCTCATCCAATGAAGGGAAATGCATCCCACAACAAGTAAATCCTCCTGGTTTTCTGACGTGCAACTATAGAACCTAGTTTTAACGTCATTCCAAGGTCTGATATCAGACGCACCCTTGTGCCTTGTAGGCCTCTGACCATGGAGCTCTCATCCTGATCCATCTTGTGCATGACTGGCCGCCGGTGGAGCACATGGGCCAGTGCCGTATGGCACTTCAGCACTATGGCCTCTGGGTCAGGCCCCTCAGAGAATGGGCCCCTTTGAGGTTTGGCCCCTTGAGGGTTGAACTCAGGGTGCTCTGCTCTACCCTTCTCAGGTGGGTGCAGCCATCCATATGTCTACTCTCCTTGTGTCCCAGTGATCTGGGGTGCCTCTGGATATATGAGGCTCGCATCACCTCTTTTTCTATCCAGGCCATGTAGGCCGAGTCTGGGGCCGCCCACACCTGCTATTAAGCATATTTTCCTTCTGAAGAAGAGTTGTAAATCTTTTATAAACGAACATGCCTATGCATACATACCACAGGAGTTTGGTTCCAAGTGTTCACGGATACTCAGTAATACTAAATAAAATGCTAAAAAAAAGTATAGCTGTTTCTTTCTGCCATAAAGTGAGGAATTAAACCAAATTTGTTGTTCTATTCCACAGAATCATTAAAGGACGCAATTACGTCACAACCTTAAAAACACTCTCCTTTCAAGATAGTTAAACATGAGTACTACTCTCCGCATTATTGTCCGCCATGGTAGTTGTTTTTCTTGCCGCTTCTGCATAGCAAGATGCAGAATAGTGACTTTTTTTTTTAGTATTAATGAAATTGAGGTCGGATGAATGTAACCTGGCCGTTCAGACAAAGGCCGCATTTAAAAAGATCAGATTCGTATTGGATTCAGGACCACATAGCCAACTGACCTGGATCACATTTGGAAAAATCTGATCTGTTTTTCAGACTGCCATGAAAAGATCAGGTACAGGTCGCATATGGGCAAAAAAAAATTGGATTTGGGTCACTTCAGGCTGCTGTGTGAACGTAGCCTTAGTTTCTGAGACAGCACATTGTAAATACTCCCACGAAGTGATCCATCTTTCCACCTTAAGATTTCAGTCTCAGATGATTTGGTCTTTTTAGTTTTAATAAGCACACTTACTAGGAATGTCACTGGTAAGCTTACACAACACGTTTGACCGGAATAGCTTAAATTACCTTGTGAGAGGTTGAACCTTTCAGCCAGGGTGCTACTTAAATCCATACACTTAAGGCAGTGACGTCCTAAAGCAATTTTGTTTCCTCCAGTTATGACTAAGCAGTTTGACCCAGAAGTCTAAATGCAGGAAAAGTCTTTTGTTTTTGCCGTGTTTTTCCTCACCTCACCGTCTTCTGATACTCTTTGGTTACACAGAGTTGTTGTTCTTGTTGTTTGTTTCCTTTCACTTCAAAGCCTTTTCTTTGCACATATTTGATTCCCCATCTGTCTTTCAGTTCCTTGTTATGGACTTCTTCTGTCAGAACAATGCAGTGTCCTTAGCTTTCCTTGTTTTGTTTTTTTTTATTGTTTTTTTTTTTACACTGAAAACCAGTAGGCTGTCACTTGACTGTTACGTCAGAGGCCTGATTGAGCTGCAGCTTGCAGACAAGGAGGATGCTGCCTCACTGTCTGGGCAAGAAGCCCAGCGTCACAGGGGGCGGAGAAGCAGAGAGAAACCCCCGGGCTCTAGTAGCTGTCTTGATCGAGGATGTAAAGTGAAAATAAAACAGAAACATAAGCAAAATAAACCAATATATAAAGATATGCTAAACAACAAACAAACAGAAAATAATCAGTCTTGAGCAACTTCATTTTCCAGTGAATCTAAGAATGGGCAATGGGTGATTGAATATTGATGCTACATTAGTAGATATAGACAATTTCTATTTCGAGGCCTAAGAACAGATCTACAGCACATTTATCTCTTAAGATTTATTGCAAGAATTACATGGCATATCTTCATTTTTTTTTTTTTTATGTAGTATGATTCATTGCAGCCAGTGAGAGTTTCTAATCTGCTCATGTGTTTTTTTGTTGTTTTTTTTTTTTTAATCAAAGTTTGCTTTGCACTTTGGCTGCTTTTTAAAATTAATTTTCAGCTGACAGCTTAGAGCAGATATAGTTTTTGATAGGATCTTTTAGTCCTTTGTTTTCATATAACTCAAAATCATAGAGTACATAACTAACTTCAGGATGATATCAGATCTTTGCTTTATTTCTAAGAAACAGATTTTAGATACTGTTCAACTACTCCAGCTTTTCAGGAATAACAGCTTTTTCTTTGAACCAACACTGGTGAACTTCCTTTTTTTTCTTAGCAAGCACCAAAAATGCTCTAACTGCTAAATAGAACATATGAGAAAAAAAAAAAAAAGCTGAGGCTTGGCAGTGGACAAAATCTTGAACTGTTTTCAGATCATACTTTTAATCCTTGATCTGCTGCTAGTTTTTCCTAACAGGTGGCGATATAAAGTTGGGTTGTCAAAGCTAATCTACACCTGACAGTCATGAGATCCGTTTTAGTGATACGATACACAAAAAGACTGCAGTGGAGCAATGCATCATGGGTGAAAGAAGAGCTGCAAAGCTTTATGATCCTTTAATGTCCATCTGAAGCTAGTGGTACAATGATTAGCAGCATCTGAGGTATTTAGGAAAAAAAACTGCTTTTGTCTCCTGATTCCTGTTGTCTCAAAAAGCCTAGAATATAATTAGTTGAAATTCAAATTTAGATAATAGCATCCCTATTATCCAAGACTTAAATGACACATTTGTTGCAGGCTCTAATGTCAGCGCTGCTGAATTATACACCATGCTCTTTTGGTTGTGGGATCCTCAATGCGTGTACTGATAACAAATGGCCCTTTGATCTAGCTTGATTGACTTGTTTAACGTAAAAGAGAGCAATTCTTAACTTAATGCCAGGGTTTAAAGTAGAACCATTATTTGTAACGCACCTAGGACAAATTAAATAAACTGGGAAAACCATTTTGTCACGACTAATAAGGTCACACCCACATGGATGTGTGGAGGAGGAAAAGATGGTGATGGAATCAATAAATTAAACGGCTTCTGAAGCATTACCATAGCTCTCAGTGTTTGCAAGTCAGCACATGTGTGTTAAGGGGGAGGGAGGTATAGCTTGGCACACATGCAAAACCTGTTAGCTTTT